GGACACTTTATTCTTTTCCATTGATCTAGATGTGTATTTGTACCAATACCCCCAATACCATGGTTACTGTAGCTTTATAATAAACCTTGAAACCCAGGTATTATATGTCCTCCAATCTTTTCTTTATCAAAGTCATTTTAGCTATTCTAGGTCTATTGTACTTCCATATACATTTTTTAATTAGCATGTCCCTTTCTAAAAGTACAATTCTGCTAGAATTTTCATTATAATTGCATTGAATTTATCAATCAGTTTTGTGAGAATTGACTTAATAACAATACTGAATCTTCAAATCCAGGAATGCAGTATATCTCCCCATTCATTTCTTTAGTTTCTCTGTTTAGTTTCTCTCATTTCTTTACTGATGTTTGGTGGTTTTTGACTTGTACGTATTTTTTTTTCTCAAATTTATACCTAGTATATTTTTCGTTGCTATTATAAATAGTATTTTAAATTGAGTACATGAAAAGATGTTCATCATTAGCCATTGGAAAACGCAAATTAAAACCACAATTACATACCATTACATTAAGGTTTCTCAACCTCAGCACTGTTGACATTTTGAGCCTCACAATATTTCCTTGGCTGTGGGGAGATGGTGCTGTGTTGTGCATTGTAGGATGTTTACCTGCATCCCTGGTCTCTACCTATTAAATGGCAGTATTATTTCTCCCCTTCCTCAAATTGTAAAAACAAAAATGCCTCCAGATATTACAAAATGTGCCCTAGGAGACATACATTCACTAGTATGGTTAAAATTTTTAAAACTATTGACAAGATTAGGGAACAACTGGAACTCACACACGCTGCTGTGAGAATGTAACGTAGTTACAACTACTTTGAAAACAGCTTGGCAGTTTCTTTTTTTAATTTTGCTTTCAATTGACACTTGTACACATTTATGGGGGTGCGCTGTGATGTTCTCATACATGTATGCATTGTGCAATGATGAAATGATGGTATGTAAAATGTCACCTCACTTATTTATCATTTCTTTGTGGTAAGAATATTCAGAATCCTCTCTTCTAGTTATTTTGAAATATACCTTACGATATTGTTACTGTTGTCTTCCTACTATCCGATAGAACACCAGAATTTATTCTTTCTAACTATAATTTTGTACTCATCGAACAATCTCTCCTCTCCCTCCCTTCTCCCCTTCCCAGCCTCTACAAACCACTATTCCACTCTGTACTTCTATGAGGTTGGCTTTTTTGGATTCTACAAATAAGTGAACTCGTGGTATTTGTCTTTCCGTGTTTGTCTGATTTCACTTAATATAATGTCCTCCAGGTTCATCCATGTCACTGCTGCAAAATGACAGGATTACATTCTTTTTTATGGATAATAGTATTTCATGGTGGGGTGTGTGTGTGTGTGTGTGTGTGTGTATCACATTTTCTATACGTGATATGTATTTCATATATATTATAAGGTTGACCGAAAGGATGGAGAGGCAGACCTAGGATCAGGTTTAGCGAGTTTATTTCAACCTGCCAGGCTGGCTGCCTCACCACAGGCAGTGAAGGCAGCAGCCTGGCTTACAGACTATGGGGGTTATATAGGGAGTTTGCAGGTAACTAGGTGCTATTCTAAGAAAAACTGCATCTTGGTTCTTAGGTGTTAACATTCATCTTAATTGAGTCACCATCCTGGGTTCAAGAGCCAAGTGCAACCACATCCTGGAACCCAGGTGCCCTGTTTGCAAGGCTTGAGGCTGTTTTTGTTGTGAGCTCAGCTTAGCAGGAGAGAATGGGGAGGAGGTCCATCGGCTTGCCTTGCTGTGACCCTAACATATATCATATATACAAAATGTGAAATCATATATAAAATGTAATGATATATAATTATATATTTATTGGTTATAACCACTTAGGTTAATTTCATATCTTGGCTGTTGTGAATAATGCTGCATTAAGACTGGGAGTGCAGATATCTCTTCAACAAACTGATTTTATTTACTTCGAATAATACACAGTTGTGGAATTGCTGGATCATACGGTAGTTCTATTTTCAATTTTTTGAGGAAACTTGCCATACTGCTTTCTGTAAATGGCTGTACCAATATACATTGCTACCAACACTGTGTAAGTTTCCCTTTCTTTCACATCCATATCAGCATTTGTTGATAATAACCATTCTAATTGGGATGAGATGGTATATCATTATGGTTTTGATTTGCATTTTCCTAATGATTAGTGATGTTGAACATTTTAAAATATTTTTTGGCCATTTGTACGTCTCATTTTAAAAGAAATGTCTATTCAAGTTCTATCTCAGAATAATTACACTGAGTGAAAGAAGCCAGACCATACATATTTTATGAATCTATTTATAAAACATTCTAGAAAATGAAAACAAGAAGCTGGGGCAGGAGGATCACTTGAGACAGAAAGTCAAAGCTATAGTGAGGAAAGGGATAGATGAGGCAAAAGACAAAACATTAGGGTGTAAGTGATATGCTGATTATCTTAATCCTGGTTATGGTTTTATGGGGATATAAACTTGTTACTTTGTATACTTTTTTTTTTTTTTTAAACAGAGCCTCTCTCTGTCACCCAGGCTGGAGTGCAGTGGCGTGATCTCGGCTCGCTGCAACCTCAGCCTCCAAGGTTCAAGCGATCCTCCTGCCTCAGCCTCCGGATAGCTTGGACCACAGGTGTAAGCCACCACAACCAGCTAATTTTTGTATTTTAGTAGAGACAGGTTTCATTATGTTGGCCAGGCTGGTCTTGAACTCCTGACCGAAAGTGATCCACCTGTCTTGGCCTCCCAAAGTGCTTGGATTGCAGGCATGAGCCACAGCACTCGGCCTAAGTTGTGCACTTTAAATAAATGTGGCTTTTTGGTATGTCAATTTTATCTCAATAAAGCTATTTAGAAATTATAATATAGAAAAGAAATGGGTGGAGAGCACATTTTAATAAATAAGAAAGACTGTGTAATGGTCTGTATTTACATGGGATACTCATGACACCGATGAAAATCACAGTGGAATCCCTATATATCATCCAACAGTGAAAAAGGATTAACCATAATTCAAGCTCATTCCTGCTCCTGCTTTAAGAAACTTAGAAATACAGCCTTCCCTCTTCCCCACTGTAGCTGCATTAAGGCTAGGAGTGCAGATATCTCTTCAACATACTGATTTTATTTACTTTGAATAATATATAGTAGTGGAATTACTGGATCATATGGCAGTTCTATTTTCAATTTTTTGAGGAAACTCCCCATACTGCTTTCTGGGATGGCTGTACCAATATACATTTCTACCAACAGTGTGTAAGGTTCCCTTTCTTTCACATCCATACCAGTCGTATTCATGGCCGACTATTTTGACTTTAGACAAAGATGAGTAGTGAATTAAACGTGACAAATGATTTTAAATTAGACTATTCGGGAAAATGTTTATCTTCTTTCAGATAAACAGTCATTAATTTTTAAATGGCATAAAACCATGTCAATGAAAAATAGGAGAGAAAAATTAACATCTCCCCACAGCCTAAAGATGCAGTGAACTACAGAATGCTCTTCTAGAAAGGTCAGGCCTTTTTTAAGCATTGGAATGACAAAAAGCAATATATGGCCTGTTACTAAATTTTTGATGAATTTCTCTGATCACAAACATTTTATAGATTCGGAATTAAATTTCTCTCGTTATCCTTGGTCAATAATAGGATTACTATTAATTACTATGAATAAATCTAGGATCCTGACTTTTTCATTGTTTATTTTTATCACATTAGATGATAATACAGTCAGCAAGCCAGGAAGGAGCATGACTTGCAAGAAACCTCACATTTTAATTTAAAAAACAAGAAAAGCAAAAAATGGTCAAGGGGTGGGTACAGGGAAATGGAGGTATATATTCTCTACCAATTTCTGGTAAAAGATAGTCAAAACAATGATTTAAGAGGCATGATTCCCTTCAATATGAGAAAGGGAGGTATAAATGTATTGACGGTTTCAGAATTTTCAGGTACCAACGTGATGATACCTTCAAATGATCAATAATTATGTACTATAATCTGTCTCTATAGAGAGAAAAAAAGTGATGGTTCCTCATGTCTGTTTTAGGTGGTTCAGCCAGCAATATTATGCTTGGTTGGAGCTAACAGGTTATTCTCTGTCTATCTGCATTCACAGCATTCTTGGGTTTAACTTTGCTTTGTTTTCCCTAGCCCATGCTTACACTTCAGTTTTGTATGGAAAATTATTAGTTGCTGAACATTTCATTATCTGCATGTAATGTGCGTACCTATTGCATATATATATATATATATATATATATTTAATAATTTTGAAGTGGTTTCTTTAATTCACCAGTGATCTGACTGGTAAATTAAAATGCAAAATCTGGTCTAGTCCAAAGCAGTAAGGAATGTCTAAGAGGCTCCTGCTTGCTTTGGCCAGGTTGTTGGAATGCTAAAATCCAAGACACCCTAACGCCAAGTAGAGATGATTAACATTTTGAGCTTCTTTATCAGATCTTAATAATGAAGGTCCCTTTGGGCAGCTCTCTGGGAATCTTGTATCTGGTATCTGTTTGTGGAAACACAGATCACATACAAGAACCCAATAAGAACATCATGCCTCTTACTTGCGTGGAAAACCTTTCATCTTTCTGTGGTTAGCACACATAGACCAACCTAGCAGTGTGTGATTCCTCTCCTCCGCCACCCTCCCCCAGCCCACCTTAGCCTTCCTGAAATTCCCTAAGCAGGAGCTAGTGAACAGCCCATCCAGTGTGTGCCACTGAGTGTGTCAGGTAAGTGGTGAGATGGAAAAACAGTTTATCCTGGGTTAGCATCCTGTTGCTTGATTTACTGGGTCACACAGAGTTGCTGAGAGAAATGAAGAGCAGCCTTCACCACTGGTTTTCTCTTTCCAGATGGATGTCTTAAAATGGGATCTCATTGTCTGCGCAGTGGTTGCTGTCCTCTCGTTTGCAGTCAGCGCCAGCACTGTATTCCTGTCATTGCGAGTATGTATCCACCAACTTTGTACTCTTCCTGCCCCTTTATTCTCCTTAATAACAAGGCTGTCATGGAGCTACAGGGTATTGACAAGACACGTGAGCCAGAGGAAGAAAACAAAATGCCCATTGAGGGGCTTAGGGAATGCATCCATGTGCTGTGAACTGTTATGCCCAAGATGTGATTTGGTTCACATCACAGATTGGGTTCGATTACTTTATCCTTACCCTTTCCTGCATCTGGGGAGCTGTTTTGTTTGCAAGCGTGATGGCACATCTTGTGGAATCCACTCTGAGGACAGTTAATAGTGATAAGGCAGGCTGACAGTGCTCTACTATGAGTAGAGAGGAGTCACTGTATCAGGGGTGAGGTGGAGGTCACAGAGCCAAAAGGACTATGGGAAAAGGATGTTCAGTTGTGAAAACAAAGTGGGAGCTCCAGATGGGATTCCTGGCTGTGGTCCTTACTGACTGTTGCTGTCTCTATACAAAAATATTGTCCATCCATGAACACCCCTTTCATAGAGGAAATGTCTATGAGCTACATGGGTTATTCTTCACCTCCTTAGAACATTTTTAAAATGTATTCCAAAGGGGCATAAATCTCTTGGCCTCTGTACTTCCGCAGGCTAGTTCTCCCTCCTTCTTATAGTGGTTTCCACCACATGAACCAATTTCATGGTATAAGGAAGACATTTTCAGACTCCTGAAACAATAGCTGAGTCTGTATCCTTTAAGAGGAAAAAGTGGAAGGACAATGATGTTATGTATTATTCATGGGCATCCCCATCCTCTAGGCTAAATAATGAGATTCTGCCCATTTTTATCGCAGCCATTTCTCAGCATCGTGCTGTTTGCCTTGGCTGGCGCCGTGGGGTTTGTAACACATTACCTGCTCCCTCAGCTCCGCAAGCATCATCCCTGGATGTGGATTTCACACCCCATTCTCAAAAACAAAGAGTATCATCAACGGGAACTGAGAGGTTAGTAATACATCCATCATTTTACAAAAAGACAAAAAAGGAAGGGTGGGTATACTTCAAACCGGAGAGCATGTGCAACAGGGTGAATATAGTTAATGCCATAGGACCGTACACTTGAAAATGGTAAATGGTACATTATGTATATTTTACCACAATAAAAAAGAAAACATATACAAAACATTATACGGTATTTGTTTCCAGATATTCCAGCCAACCATAACAAAAAAAGCCAGGTGAATCAGAAGAATATTTCATAAAAATATTAATTGGCTATTGGTATTGTGGAAAAATTGTATCATTCAGACTTGAAGATTATTTTGTTCCCACCAAAACTAACTGGGGCCTAAGAAGAGCATCACTTGACCATGCTCCCATATCTCATGAAATGGTGGGGATGGAGCAGGGCCTGACCATTAACTTTCAGGAATCCTGAACCCTTGCGTTTTCTTTAGCTTGCTTTGTTCACCTAGGCCTATACCTATATCTACACTTGACTGACTTAGCAGTTTCTATGGGTGTCTCTGACCATGATCATCTAATAGCTTGGTATTCACAACCATTCCAGAGCCTTAGGGAAGAAATAGATTTATTTTAAATAAAAAGTCTTCTGACCGAGTGTGGTGGCCCACGCCTATAATCCCAGCACTTTGGAAGGCTGAGGTGGCAGATCACCTGAGGTCGGGAGTTTGAGACCAGCCTGACCAACATGGTAAAACCCTATCTCTACTAAAAATGCAAAATTAGCCAGGTGTGGGGTCACACATCTATAATCCCAGCTACTTGGGAGGCTGAGGCAGGAGAATCGCTTGAACCCGGGAGGTGGAGGTTGCCGTCAGCTGAGATTGTGCCATTGCACTCCAGCCTGGGCAACAAAAGCTTCCATTAAAAAAAAAAAAATAGTTGAAGATGGCTGAAAGGGAACTTCAGAGTGCAGCTCCCAGCGAGTGTGACACAGAACAAGAGTGATCTCCACATTTCCGAATGAGGAACTGGGTTCATTTCAAAGGGACTGGTTGAACAGTGGGATTAACCCAAAAAAGGTGGTGAGAGTAGCCCAAAGAGTGCAAGCCGAGGCAAGGTGGGGCTCTGCCCCACCCGGGAAGTGCATCTGGCACAGAGGATCGGGGACTTCATCCCCTCAGTACTCCAATTCAGATACTGTGCTTTACTCTGTGACTTCTGCAGCCAACAGTTCAGGAAAATGCCAAGTGAGAACCACCCTGAGTTGTCAGTGCAGACCCAGGCAACCTCGCTGGCTGGCCCGGTGCCTCGAGTTGTCAGCTCAGACCTGGGCAGAGACTTTGACTAACACCAAGAAGGCTTGTGGGACAGAACTGCCCATCCCACAGAAGGAGGGAGGGTTGTAAGTGGGGAGTCAGATGATATGGCCATACAGGTCCCACCCCCACAAGATCCAGCAATTGGAAGCCCTCTCGTGGGAGAGTTTCGAAGTTAACAGATCAGATTGAGCTCCATCTGGGATGAGCAGGCTCGGTGGAGGGAGAGATGCCCGCCATTGGGAAGTCTCACCTGTGTAAGCAGAAACCAGCGGGAGAATAAACAGCAGCCTGGCCAAGACTGAGGCAGCCCAGCCTCGGCCTCCACAGGCAAATAAGGGACAGACTGTCTTAAATGGAGCATTGACCGTTGTGTAAAACAGCAACAACAAAAGCCTCATACAGGAGAAATAACCCCAACTTTAACAGAAAGGATATCCACTCAGAGATCCCATCTGAAATCACCAACTTCAAAGATCAAAAATAAATAAATCCATGAAGATAGGAAGAAACCAGAGCAAAAAGGATGAACTCATCAAAGTCCAGAACGCCTCTCCTCCCCCGAGAGATCACAGCTCCTCACCTGCAAGAGAACAAAACAGGACAGAAAATGAATTTGATGAACTGACAGAAGAAGGCTTCAGAAGGTGGGTAATAACAAACATCTGTGAGCTAAAAGATCATGTTCTAACCCAATGCAAAGAAACTAAGAACCTTGAAAAAAGGTTAGATGAAATGCTAACCAGAATAACCAGCCTAGAGAAGAACGTAAACAACTTGGTGGAACTGAAAAACACAGCACGAGAACTTCGTGAAGCATACACAAGTTTCAGTAGTCAGATTGATCAAGCAGAAGAAAGGATATCAGAGATTGAAGATCAACTAAATGAAATAAAAAGAGAAGGCAACAAAAGAGAAAAAAAAAGTGAAAAGAAATGAACAAATGCCCCAAGAAATATGGGATTATGTGAAAAGACCTAATCTATGCTTGATCAGTATACCTGAAGTGAATGAGGATAATGAATCCAGGCTGGAAAACACTCTTCAGGATATTATCCAGGAGAACTTCCCCAACCTAGCAAAGCAGGCCAACATTCAAACACAGGAAATACAGAGAACACCACAAAGATACTCCTCAAGAAGAGCAACCCCAAGGCACATAATCATCAGATTCACCAGGGTTGAAATGAAGAAAAAAATGCTAACGGCAGCCAGAGAGAAAGGTCGGGTCACCCACAAAGGGAAGCCCATCAGACTCACAGCAGATCTCTTGGCAGAAACCACACAAGCAAGGGTGGGGGGGTGGGTGGGTGGCAATATTCACCATCCTTAAAGAAAAGAACTTTCAACCCAGAATTTCATATCCAGCCAAACTAAGCTTCATAAGGAGAAATAAAATCCTTTACAGACAAGCAATTACTGAGAGATTTTGTCACCTCCAGACCTGCCTTACAAGAGCTCCTGAAGGAAGCACTAAACATAGAAAGGAACAACCAGTACCAGCCACTGCAAAAATTAACCAAATGGTAAAGGCCAACGATGCAATGAAGAAACTGCATCGACCAATGGGCAAAACAAACAACCAGTAACAAAATGGCAGGATCAAATTCACACATAACAATAATAATGCTAACTGTAAATGCCCCAATCAAAAGACACAGACTGGTAAACTGGATGAAAAGTCAAAACCCGTCAGTGTGTTGTATGCAGGAGACCCATCTTACATGCAAAGACACACATAGACTCAAAATAAAGGGATGGAAGAAGATCTACCAAGCAAATGGAGAGCAAAAAAAGCAGGGGTTGCAATCCTAGTTTCTGATAAAATGGATTTTAAACCAACAGAGATCAAAAGAGACAAAGAAGGGCATTACATAATACTAAAAGAATCCACACCACAAGAAGAGCTAACTATCCTGAATATATATGCACCCAACACAGCAGCACCCAGATTACATAAAGCAAGTTCTTAATGACCTACAGAGAGACTTAGACTCCTGCACAATAATAGTGGGATACTTTAACACTCTGCTATCAATGTTAGACAGATCAACGAGACAGAAAATCAACAAGGATATCCAGGCCTTGAATGCATATCTGGAACAAGCAGACCTAATAGACATCTACAGAACTCTCCACCCCAAATCCACAGAATATACATTCTTCTCAGCACCACATCGCACTTACTCTAAAATTGATCACATAATTGGTAGTAAATCACTCCTCAGCAAATGAAAAAGAACAGAAATCATAACAGTCTCTCATACCACAGTGCAATCAAATTAGAACTCAAGATTAAGAAAGTAACTCAAAACTGCACAACTTTATGGAAACTGAACAACTGGCTCCTGAATGTCAACTGGATAAACAATGAAATGAAGGCAGAAATAAAGATGTTCTTTGAAACCAACTAGAATGAGGACACATGCCAGAATCTCTGGGACACATTCAAAGCAGTGTGTAGAGGGAAATTTATAACAATAAATGCCCATATAAGAGTGAGGAAAGATCTAAAATCGACACCCTATAGTCAAAATTGAAAGCCTAGAGGAGCAAGATCAAAAAAACCCAAAAGCTAGCAGAAGACAAGAAATAACTAAGATCAGAGCAGAAATGAAGGAGATAGAGACACAAAAAAACCTTCAAAAAAATCAATAAATCCAGGAGCTGTTTTTTTTTTTTAAAGATCAACAAAATAGACTGCTAGCCAGATTAATATAAAAGAAAAGAGAGAAGAATCAAATAGATGCAATAAAAAACGATAAAGGGGATATCACCACCAATTCCACAGAAATACAAACTACCATCAGAGATTACTACAAATAACTCTATGTACATAAACCAGTAAATCTGGAAGGAAGGGAAACATTCCTGGACACCTGCACTCTCCCAAGACTAAACCAGGAAGTTGAAACCCTGAATAGCCCAATAATAAGGGCTGAAGTTGAGGCAGCAATTAGTAGCCTACCAACCAAAAAAAATCCAGGTTCAGAGGGGTTCACAGCCATATTCTACCAGATGTACAAAGAGGAGCTGGTACCATTCCTTCTGAAACTATTCCAAACAATACAAAAAGAGGGAATCCTCCCTAACTCATTTTACGAGATCAATATCATCCTGATACCAAAACCAGGCAGAGATCCAACAAAAAAAGAAAACTTCAGGCCAATATCCATGATGAACATAGATGCAAAAATCTTCAACAAAATACTGGCAAACCGATTGCAACAGCACATCAAAAAGGTTATCCATCACAATCAAGTAGGCTTCATCCCAGGGATGCAAGGCTGGTTCAACATATGCCTATAAACGTAATTCACCACATAAACAGAACCAAAGACAAAAACCACATGATTATCTCAATAGATGCAGAGAAGGCCCTCGGCAAAATTCAACAGCCTTTATGCTAAAAAGTCTCAATAAACTAGGTATCAATGGAATATATCACAAAATAATAAAAGCCATTTATGACAAACCCACAGCCATTATCATATTGAATGGGCAAAAACTGGAAGCATTCCCTTTAAAATCTGGCACTAGACAAGGATGCTCTCTCTCACCACTCCTATTCAACATGGTATTGGAAGTTCTAGGCAGAGCAATCAGGCAAGAAAAAGAAATAAAGCATATTCAGTTAGGAAAGGAGGAAGCCAAATTGTCTCTATTTGCAGATGGCATGATTGTATATTTAGCAGACCCCATCGTCTCAGCCCCAAATCTCCTGAAACTGATAAGCAACTTCAGCAAGGTCTCAGGATACAAAATCAATGTGCAGAAATCACAAACTTTCCTATAAACTAATGACAGACAGAGAACCAAATCAAGAGTGAACTCCCATTCACAATTGCTACAAAAGAGAGTAAAATACCTAGGAATAAAACTAACAAAGGATGTGAAGGACCTCTTCAAGGAGAACTACAAACCACTGCTCAAGGAAATAAGAGAGGGCACAAACAGATGGAGAAACATTCCATGCTCATGGTTAGGAAGAATTAATATCGTGAAAATGGCCATACTGCCCAAAGTAATTTATAGATTCAATGCTATCCCCATCAAGCTACCATTGGCCTTCTTCACAGAACTGGGCAAAACCACTTTAAACTTCATATGGAACCAAAAGAGAGCCTGCATAGCCAAGACAATCCTAAGCAAAACGAACAAAGCTGGAAGCATAATGTTGTGTGACTTCAAACTATACAGGACTTCAAACTAAACATGGTACTGGTACCAAAACAGAGACGTAGACCAATAGAACAGAACAGGGGCCTCAGAAGGGCACCACACATCTACAACCATCTGATCTTTGACAAGTCTGACAAAAACAAGCAATGGGGAAAGGATTCCTGTTTAATAAATGGTACTGGGAACATTCGCTAGCATGTGCAGAAAGCAGAAAATGGACCCCTTCCTGACACCTTACACTAAAATTAACTCCAGATGGATTAAAGATTTAAACATAAGACCTAACACCATAAAAACCCTAGAAAAAAACCTAGGCAAAACCATTCAGGACATAGGCATAGGCAAGAACTTCAGGAATAAATCACCAAATGCAATGACAACAAAAGCCAAAATAGACAAATGGGATCTAATTAAACTTCAGAGCTTCTGTACAGCAAAAGAAACAATCATTAGAGCAAACCAGCAACCAACAGAATGGGAAAAAATTTTTGCAATCTGCCCATCTGATGAAGGGCTAATATCCAGAATCTACAAAGAAATAAAACAGATTTACAAGAAAAAAACAAACTCATCCAAAAGTGGGTGAAGGATATGAACAGATACTTTTCAAAATAAGGCATGTACAAGGCCAACAAACATATGAAAAAAATGCTCATCATCACTGGTCGTTAGAGAAATGCAAATCAAAACCACATTGAGATACCATCTCAAGCCAGTTATAATGGCGATCATTAAAAAATCTGGAGGCAACAGATGCTGGAGAGGATGTGGAGAAACAGGAACACTTTTACACTGTTGGTGGGAGTGTAAATTAGTTCAACCATCGTGGAAGACAATGTGGTGATTCCTCAAGGATGTAGAAATAGAAATTCCATTTGACCCAGCAATCCCATTACTGGGTATATACCCAAAGAATTAGAAATCATTCTATTATAAAGATGCATGCACATGTATGTTCACTGAGGCACTGTTTACAATAGCAAAGAACTGGAACCAACCCAAATGCCCATCAGTGATAGACTGGACAAAGAAAATGTGGCACATATACACTATGGAATACTATGCAGCCATAAAAGCTATGAGTTTGTGTCCTTTGTAGGAACATGGATGAATCTGGAAACCATCATTCTCAGCAAACTGACACAAGAACAGAAAATCAAACACCACATGTTCTCACTCATAGGTGGGTGTTGAACAATGAGAACACATGGACACAGGGAGGGGAGCATCACACACTGGGGTCCGTTGGTGGGGGCTAGGGAGGGACATCAGGGGGTGGGGAGGGTGGGGAAGGATAACATGAGGAGAAATGCCAGGTATAGGTGATGGGGGATGGAGGCAGCAAACCACCTTGCCATGTATGTAGCTGTGCAACAATCCTGCATGATATCTGCACATGTACCCCAGAACCTAAAGTACAATTAAAATAAAAAGAA